TGCGTGCGTGCGTGCGTGCGTGCGTGCGTGCGTGTGTGTGCGTGCGTGTGCGTGGGCGTGTGCGTGTGCGTGGGCGTGGGCGTGTGTGTGCGTGTGTAAATACACATGTGTATATGCATATACACATACACATATATATACAAAATTTTTATACAACATACATAGGTATTTTAGATTTTTAGCTTATAAACAATTTTTACAATCTTTATAATTTATAATTTAAATTTAATAAATATATATGATTTATGTATATATATATACATATTTCAAAAATATTAAACATATATAAATATTTATACATTTATTGTATTTTTTTTCTTTTTATTTTATATATAACTATATATTTGTATAAATGTAGGTATGAATATGTATATTTATTCTTACCTTGCTTTTCTTTCGACATTTTTTTAAATAAGTTTTTTTTCTTATATTATATATAATTTCGTTAATCTTTGATTACGTTTTATATTCAACTAACTATTAATGTTGCTATGTACAAATATGTTTGTCATTTATTTTACTATTACTATGTATACGAATAAAATAATAATGATTTAAATTATGACTGATATTCATGTATTGTACAATAAAATTTTTCAAGCTATTAATAAGCTATTAACAAGCTTTAAACCGTAAGAAATTGGCCAATCATAATCGATTATTCTTTTCACATTTACAATGATTGCGATATGTCAATTTCTTACGGCTTAAGGACTTATCCAGACAAAGTTGCATAACTGCATATGAATAAAAAAATTATCTAATTGCATTTCTATTATAAGAACGAACATAAAATACGATTGGATAATTTTCTTTATGTACATAGTTATGTTATGTCTATACAAATTTATCTAGATAGGCTTTTATATGTAAAGGTGTGTTTTCATTGGGTAAAATATCTCATTTTATTGCATCTGCATTTACCGTACGACTTTTTGCGAGACGCATTGATTAGATTACTTGACATTCTAGAGATAAAAGAATCTTCTTTTGTATAAAATTTCGGATCGCGCAACAAATTATGCAATAAAATGGGATGTTTTGTTTCATTAATTTGAATAACAAGGAGAACAGAAAAGTCAAAATAATATCAATTTGACATCAAATTGACCGAATTTACGTCATTTTTTACATTATGATTAAAATCTAGATTTCAAATGACTAAAGAATGACTTTATATTGACTTTTTTTTATAGTGTCGATCTTTTTGATTTTTAGAAAAATGTGAACATTTCTCGATTGTATATATATGGCAAGTATTTATTTTTAATTCCTTTATTTCAAACGCCATTTCGCATATACAAAATTAAGTTTTAGTAAAAATTGTAACTTCATATTTGTTAATATTTTATATGCAAACTTTATATTTATAAACAAAATATATCTTAACTAATTATACATATTCCATCTTTGTGACATCTATTAAAAAGATTTATACCATTGGTATACTTTTATTAGTAATTAATATTTATA